ACTCTACATGTTGCGACGTTACAACGTCATCATGTAACGTCGAAACATGTAGAGTCGTCAACCTTTTGAAGGCCATAGATAGGCCTAAATAAAATGTTTTTAAATTGTGAACTCAAGTTTGATTTTGACTACGGCTTCTAATTTGAAGGCTGTTGGTCGCCGTTTTAAGTAAACGTAATTAGTATGGTACGTCCTATTTTATTTCAGACTTTTTAAGCCTTTGTGAAGGTATTGTAGCCTTTCCTAGGTGTAAAGGGGGGTCATGTATCACTATCTCAGCAGTTTCAGTTTACAACCTTAATTAAACAGTTGATGCGTATGAAAAAGTAATTTCTACGTTATTTACGATTATGAATCTTATACTAAAACTTAACATGGTGTTAAAATTACCAAATTTTGATGATTGTTGCTCCAATGTAATTTATCAATTCAAGTAATCTTGACGAAACCAACTCAATTATTGAGTTATTCAAATGTTAGATATATTACAAAATTAAACTAGAAATCATCACAGACTCAAATAACTTTATTCAGTACCATCCAAGATATCAAAGCTTGTATGAAAAACAGGACAAATGAAGAATCCCAGAAAATAACCTCTTCATTTACATTTCATAACATAGATATGAAGACTTTTCTTGGCACCCGATAAACTGCAGGAAATTTTGTATTACCAATGTATTAAGTAAAACACATAAATACATAAGAATCCCCTGTAAAGTTGTTATCCTCTCCGCGTCGGAATTGTATACCCCAAGACCGTTTGTGAAATTCGTTAATCAACGAAATTGAAAATTACTATATGTCTACGCGAAGGTATGTCAAACTTTACTGAAATGATAATATGCACGCAGCATAAGAAATGTTATGTTGCAACAAAACAACACGTTATACCTTGTAAATCCATACGTGAACATGCAGGTTTCAGATAAAGACAAGCTTCAGAAAGAAGTGTTTTTCTTTCTGACCAATATTGATTCATTCAAGCTCCTAGTATTGTGGAATGTAGAGGACGTATTTCCGGTAATATTCATCTGCACAGTCTGGAACGTCCACGGGCCATGCGCAGTTGTTGGTTTTAGGGTTAAAAACTGTATTTACAGGGCAAGTGTGTTCAAACATTACAAAACTGTCGTTGTCAATAATACAACTGAAGAATCTTGAACAGACATGAGGATGGGGGAAAAACTTTTCGGGAGTACAAGGGATCCTGACAACAGAGGACGACGCTTTAGTGCGAGGTTTTGAAGTAGTGGTAGAAGACGGCAACTGAGTTGTGGTGCTAGTTGTCGATATCGTTGTTGACGGGGGTGTTGAAGTTGTTGTTGTCAAAGGATTCGTTGCAGTTGATGGAACTCTTGTCGTAGTTGTCGTCATTGTTGTCGATGATTCACTTTGTGGATGTTCTATCCCTGAAGAAGGAGTTTTTGTAGGGGGCAAGGGTAAATCATTTCGAGGGTCAGTAAATTCCTCATTAATAGCCCGGAGTAAGGGATAATTAACTCCGTGACAAGCGCCCGAAAAATCGTCAGTTTCAATGGACCAAACCATACCTCCACCAAGACCCATTGCTTTAGCAAAGCGAACCTAGAAAAATCAAGGAACACCCAACTATTGAATCTCCGAGTATTTAAATACTTAACCCTAACACTGTGCAGAATTTTATTTTCAAGTGGAATTACGTAGTTTTTCAGCAACTAGTGAAAGTACGTTACGAGTTAAATCATAGTCTTGGTAATACATCTACAAATAATTCATGTTCATAATAATAATATGGCACGAATAGGTATTATCAGCCATTACTTATCCTTAGTTTTATGTTCAGTATAATAATATGGCACGAATAAGTATTATCAGCCATTACTTATCCTTAGTTTTATGTTCAGTATAATAATATGGCACGAATAAGTATTATCAGCCATTACTTATCCTTAGTTTTATGTTCAGTATAATAACCTTTAAACTTCAGTTTGTTTGACTACGTTGATATGTCTGAAAGTGCTGAATACCCGTTGAGTTTAGGTTTAACGCTATTCTGTTATAACAAGTTTATCAGATAAAGATATTTACAATCCTTAACTCACTTTTCGCTTAATGCTTTCTACATCGTCGTAGCCAACCCACTGTCTGTCTTTGTAGGCATAGGGTGCCATGTAATACGGGTCTTGAACGATGGTCCAAGACTCTTTCTTCTGGGCTTCACAAATCTGTAAGAAGCAAATCGCCGAATTAGAAGAACTAGTAGACATACTCGTCCCAGTATAAGGGAGATACGAAAAGTAGGCATGGCGGAAATGTGACAAAAACGAAAAAATAATTTTTTAAATAACTAATTCTATATTTACTATCTCATCCCAAATTTGCATCGTAATATGATTAAGTCGCACACTTAACAACTACACATTTGCTGTTAGCCTATGGAAAACGTTGTTCTAAACATTACGTTCGGTGGGGGCGTTTGACAATACAAGGGAGGTAATTCAAAAAGTTGAGCTCGTTAGGACAGTCTCTGGATAGTATTTACTTTATTGACCAATTCTAATAACTCGCTGATCAAACTGTGGAAGAAGATAGTGAACAGACCGAGAGACAAAATAGCGTGTATTATAATAACATATAAAACGGATGTTTTTTGACAGTAACGTATTTTACATTAATTTGATGAGTAAACACCATAAAGCTTTTCATTGTAACAAATATAAACATTTATTTGACTAATATTACAGTTATTTGACACAAACAGTTTTTTGACTAATATAAACACCCATTTGACTAATATAAACAGCTATTTGACTAATATAAACAGTTATTTGTCTAATATAAACAGTTATTTGTCTAATATATACAGCTATTTGTCTAATGTATACAGTTATTTGACTAATATAAACAGCTATTTGACTAATATAAACAGTTATTTGTCTAATATAAACAGTTATTTGTCTAATATATACAGCTATTTGTCT